CGCAAAGTGGTTCACCATATGTCTAACATAGTGTAAATGCAATCTGAAAACAACATGATTCAACAGAATAGCAATCAAATCAAAACCATCTTGGTTTAAAGTAGAGGTCCAACAACAGCAAGTCATAAAAAGCCTTCCAAAATAGGAATGACATTTCAGAGTCCATCTAAAATTTGGGAATGGAGCTAGATCAATCCAGGGGACAAAATGAATGCATGGTCCCCCAAATAAATATTCTGCCCTCCCTTGAAATTTTCCTTCATTCAACAACTTTCTAGCATTCTAGTAACTTAAAACATCGGTTGAATTTTTAGAAGTACAGTTTAGGGAGCCAATGGAAAGGGGCAGGCAGAGTTACCTTGAGGAATGCAAACATAGCAAATATAAGTGTTCTAGTGTCTTAGGGGCTAAACAGACAGCCCCTTTGGAGCAGCTTGCCTTTGAGTGCCAGATCGGGGCTGCAGCAACCGCACACTGCAGCCCCGATCCAGTGCTTTGCTTGCTCCAAAAGAAACGGCCAAAAACCGCTCCTTTTGGAACCAGCAAAAAGCCGCCCTTGCCGCTGCAGTGGCACTTTTGGGCATGCAGCATCTAAATGCCATGCCTAAGGAGCACTGTAACCACACGCCATGCGGTCAGTCAGGCAACATGACACTGGCATCGGGGTGGAATTGGGGCATGTGGCGTTTTATGCCTGTCTGTATAGCCTCTCAGTCTTTACAATATTCTAACTGTTTTAAAATTGTATTTTAGGGTTGTTTTTTAAATGTTTTATCTTGTACTGTTTTAATTGCTTTCATTTGTCCATCACTTTGAGAGTTCTTGTGGACTGGGACGTGATCAATAACTGCAGCAACAATGACAAAAATAATATAAAGATAAACATTTACCATCCATTATTCCATGGTCTGAAGATCTTTATCAGCATAAACATATATTTTGTAGACATTAGTTTCAAGAAAATGTATTTTTGGAAATATGGTCAGCATCCATTAATATATATCCCCTATTCATATCCTACATATTCTATATAAGGGGTGGAAGCCCTATTCCAGTTTTGAAAAATAGCAATTTAAGTGTTAAACTGTATGTTGGTGGTGGCGAAGATTTGTACCTAGTTAAAAAGTGAATTGCCACTCTTGAAGACTTCTTTTGCCAGAAAAAAAAGTGGGCTGTTGGTGGTAAGGGTCTGAAAAAAAGAAAAGGAAAGGAAAGGAAAGAAAAATAAAAAAATTGGGGGACTGTGTACAGGATACCTTCCTTATCCATAGATTCTTTATCCATGGGTTGAAAATATTCCAAAAAAATATAAATTCCAAAAAGTAGACTTTGATTTTGCCATTTTATATACGGGACACCATTTTACCACACTGTGATATATAATGGGACTTGAGCATCCACGGATTTTGGTATCCATGAGGGGTCCTGGAACCAGACTCCAGTGGATACCAAAGGCCCACTGCACACACTTTGCTTGCTTTTATTCCAAAGCAGAAATGGGTAACTGTTAAAGGCCAGGGTGCTGTGTTCACCTATTGCGGGACCTTGGGATGCTTCTTCCTTGCAAAGAAACCAAACTTTTGCCCCAATTGCTCTCCAGTGGCAGTTGGAGTAATGTTTTAGGCCCAGGAGAGCACTTTTTTTTAAAATAGGAAGTAACTTCCTACTTTTTTTAAAAAATAAATGACTCTCCTGGATGTGAAATGGCTTGAAGGGCCCCAAACACATAAGGAAAAAAAGCCCCTGGAAGACATTTGGAGGCAACTTTTCTTTATCCCTGGAGGCCACAAAAACTGCCTTGGGGGCTGCATGCAACTCACAGGTCACACTTTACCCACCCCTGGTCTAAGGTGAATTGAGCTACTGCTCTTTCATGGTGGAAAATGCTATTCAAGTGCCAGGATTCCAGTGGCAGTCCATTAGCTTCAATATGTAGAATGGGGGAAAGGGTGCTGACATGTCCCTCATGCAAGCTGTGTATCTTGGTTCAAGCCAGTAATGACCACTGCTGAATCTTATGAAAGGCACAAAGGTGGCCTTAGGCAACTCTTCTCCACTTCTGTCAGAATTATGGTGCTTACAGAGTTTTAGTATTACAGCAAAATAACATATGTGAAGTGGTCAGACCTTTTGAAAGTACCATAGTTCTTTTTTCTGTTTCTCTCAGGGTGCCTTCAGCTACTGGTTATGGAGAACCTTTTGAATTGCCAATGGAGGCGAATGAGAACGCAGTAGTACCACTTTCAGATGAAGGACTGCAATGTTGCATCTCTGCAGAGGGCTCAGCAGGACAATTTCTCAACCTAGGGAGTTCAAGCCACTTGTTTGAAGACCAAGGCTTTCTTCAGCTGACGGCTACACCCCTGGAAGGGTTCAGCACCTCTGCACCCTTTGCCTTGCAGTCTTCAAGATCAGTTTCTGAGCCATGTGAAGAGGGCAGAGTTGTGGCTAACAGTGATTCACAGACCAGCACCTCTGTGGAAATCAAACACCATCCTGCCTCTCAACAGGGGAGGGTCTTGGCACAGCCCACTGCCCTATCCCGCAAACGCAAGCACTCCTGCGGTGCATTTGGGCCCGTGAAAAAGAAGCAAGCACTCACATCAGACGAGAGGCAGTCAAGTACAGACTTGGTCACGGGGGAGCAGCAAGTTGGCATACCACAATGTTTGTCCCCAAATTTGAATAACAGCCAGGAAGCTCCCAAACACCCTGGCCTCTATGCACTTCCGTTGCATGCCCCTAGCCATCTTTGTGTCCCCCCACACTTACCTCTGGAAGGCTGTTCCTGTCGCTTGTCTGAGCCCGTTGCTATAGACACTGAATCTCTCAAAAGCCCAATGCAGCAGCTAGACCAAGAGGAGGAATCTGCTCTAAGGAATGGGACATGTGCAGTCTCATTCCCTTGCAACTTTTCCAGGTCTAATATTGGATTAAGAAGCACACCTGACTTCTCTCCAGGCAAACACAAAGCCCCCAAGCTGCTGGGCTCTGTGGTCCAGCACTCTTCACCTGAAATAACTGAGCTAGCTCAGACTAGGTTACCACAGCAACCAGCCCTAGGGCCCAGCCCTTGCCTATGTCTGCCTTCCAAGCAAAGGACTTGTGTTTCTACTGACGAAAAGAGCTCTTCCTCCATTTCAGAATGGGACGGACCACTGCTTTGTGCCCTGTCGGGGGCTTCCCATCTCCCTTCTGAGGGCCTAATTGATGCTGCGCTGCTGGGGACCTGTGTCAGCATGCAAGACAGCAACTATGAATCCCATCTCTGCTCTGTGCTTTGGCGGACACCGCAGGAAAACTGGTCCTGTAATGGCAACGACCCAGACTATCGGAACAACTGTGCAGAGACGACAAAGAGATCCCTTTACTGCAGTGAGCATCTGCCTAAAAAACTGGATGAGCTAAGCTGTTCCTCTAAACATCCAATTGTCTGCCTCTCTCCTTCCCTCCCTTCACCAGCCATATAGGGCACTCCTTCCTTCTTTGTAAAATAGGGGACTCCATCCTTTTCACTCTTGGATGTGGGAATGGGCTATTTGCCCGTATCTGCCCAGAAATGAATGGGGAGGGTGGGGTTTTTTTGAGCATTTGAGTAAGCACTCAATAGCCCTGCTATATGCCACTGGGCCTGAGACTGAAAATGTACCTTGGAGCATAGGGAGGCAGCAGTAGACACCGTTTTCCATACTAAATGGAGCATATATTCTTACCCAGGTCTGCGACTGGGTCTTCTGGCACAAGGGGCTTGGAGTACCAATGCCTGACAAAAAAATGGGTAGTGGGAGAATACTTTGCCAAGAATTGGAACCAGCCTGACATTTTTTGTAGTTGGTGGATTGTGACTTGGACAGTGAGATATGTAGATGGGGAACATGGCCTTTCTGCTTGCCAGAATTCAACTAGGGTTGTTCCACTATGTATGTGTTCCAGATCCAAATTTTTAGTTAAATCTCCTTTTGGTGCAACACATTGACTTATGTGTTTATAGAAAGGGCCCCTCAAAGCAGTAATAGTTGCTGGTTGTTTACTTTTCCTCTGTGTGAAGTAGACCTAGATTAGGTAGTCAGAAGAGTGTGGGGTCTTGAGCAACAATAAATAAAGGTTGAAGGTTACATTGCTAGCTTGCTAGCATATGCTTATGAACAAGAGAGAGCCTAAGCGTACAGTCATCCAGTTCTGCTGATTAATACCTCTGTAGGCCTTTTAACAGTGGACTATTACTGACCTCCTTAAACTAACTATTATCTGTTCCTTGTTTTTCCTCCCATTATCATCTAAGTTTTGCTATATGTGTTTCTAAGTTAGCATATGACTCTGCTGGAACTTATAGTGGCATATTTTCCCCACTCCTTTTAAAAATATAAATAAATTTCTTGATGTGTTCCTTTTGTCAAAAGGGCCTCCTCCCCTTTTTTTGGTGGGGGGACGACTGCATGCTAGGAGATGATATGATTTAATATCCTTACATTTTCTATCCTATTGTGAGTATACCTGCTATGTGTGCTCTGCTGTGAACAGCTGAAGGCCCATAGAAAGTAAAATACAAGCTTGCAAGATGGTGATGATGATTGTGATGAGCCTAACATTTTCCAGGTGGTGTACAAAGATTAAAAAGCAAAATAGCTGCTCCCTGTAGTAGGCCATCAGTTTATTCCAGGGTTGATGTGTTGTCTGAGATGGCAGGCGATGATGGGAGTTGTGGTCTAGCACTTCTGGAAGACACAAGATTGGGGATGACTGGTTAGATAGATACAATGGAAATGGGGAGGCAATATTAGTGACACAACTAAAAACAAGTACCTGCCAACTGCCTAAATTCCTGAGCTGCATAACCAAATGTCTGTAGTCCATTCTTTATCTGTTTGTGGCCTGCTGGGGAAATTCAAAACATCCATTGTGTGGGCCTTAGTTATTTCCACAAGAAGTCTACAAAAAGCGGAAGTGGTGATGAGAAAGCACCTGTATCCTATATTCACCAACCTATACCTGCTCCGAGAGCCAGCATGATGTAGTGGTTTGAGTGTTAGACTACGACTCTGGAGGCCAGGGTTCAAATTCCCGCTCAGCCATATAAACTCACTGGGTGACCTTGGGGAAGTCATATTCTCTCAACCTCAAAGGATGGCAATGGCAAACCCTTCTGAAGAAACGTGCCAGGAAAGCCCCATGATTGGTTTGCCTTAGGGTCGCCACAAGTTGGAAGTGACTTGAAGACACACAACAGCAACAACAAACATCTGCTCCATCCTGGAGCTGAGGCCAGATTTTCCAGCCTGTTACAATTACGGTAATCCAGCCTGCTCCACAGCTCTGCTTGTGGGCTATTTTGTCCTGCAGTCATAAAGGGAAAATAGTGGTCAACAGAAGGACAAACAGATCAGTCTCAGATGTGGAGACTGATGAAAGAAAAAGGGAAGTGATTGCTGATTTTTGTGGATGGGGAAGGAGGATAACAAAAAGCTGAGGGTGCAGAAGGAGTGCAGTAGGGTTCAAATTATGAAATGGGGCTATGTTGTCCTGTTGAGGAAAGGAGTAACTGAAATGGAGATACTGTGAAAGCTGTAAGTGGGTAAGAAAAGGATGTACCAGAGATGGTACTGGAGAAGAATGAGCCTAAACACTCTGAAGGTCCCAGATCCCATCTGATGTCAATGGTTAGTACTTGGAAGGGGACTGCCAAGGAATACCAGATACTGTAAGTTATATTTCAGAGGAAAACAATGGCAAGCCACCTCTGAGTTGCCTAAGAAAACCCTATAAAATGGGTAGGCAACCTTTCCCCTTTAAGGGCCGAGGGACTTCAGCTCCCAGAAGCCTCAGCCTTGTTGGCCAATAGTCCCATGTTGGCCAATAGCTCCTGGGTTTCTGGGAGCTGAAGTCCCTCGGCCCTTAAAGGGGAAAGGTTGCCTACCCCTGCTTATAAAATTTATGGGGTTGCCATAAGTTAACAGGTGACCTGAGGGTAGATAAACACTGCAGAGGAAGAGTACTATGGGAAGCAGAGTGAAAGAACTGGGAAATGGGCTATTGTAAGTCTTGCAGGGGAAAGAATAGCAAAAAATAGATAAAATAAAATTGATGATCTGTAGTCAGGGAGAGCTTGAAAAAAACATGCTCACTGGTGGATTCTGTGAGTTCAACATTTTCCCAAGCTCTGTGGTGAGGGAAACATGGAGTATAGCCTGCAAAGTGAGAGAAAAGGACCAACAAGGAGCCCAGGTGCAAGCACAGCAGCCTCAATGAGCAATATTCTAAAGGCATGGAGTCTGAAAAAGATTTGATAGCATTTTACTAGTCCATGTGGACACCTTGCTGAAACCATAATTATATCTTAAGATAGTTTTTTTTTAAAAAAAATATCAAATTAGTTTTTTAAAAAGACAAAACATCAGGATAGAAAAGAAAACATTAGACTGCACTAAAATAATGATGCTATCTTTATTCTCTGTAAATATGTGCCAGCAAAAGAGCAATTCCAAATTGCTAGTATAGAAACAGCCGTCTGGTTTTATGCGTTGGTGAAAGAAAGGCACTTGTCTCTTGGGCAGGACCTTGCTTTTCATATGTTCCACCACTGTATCCTTGAATCAAAAATGGGGTGTGGAACAAAGTTTGGGGGATCCTTGTCCTAAATGGAGCCATTGCCTTCCAAGTCCTCTACACTTTTTACAAAAGGTCTATACAATAAACCTGCCAAAGAAATGTGATACACCAGCCAGATCTTATGGCCTGCCTGCTCCAATTTCTAGTTCCAAAGGAAAGTACTGGTTCACTCAGAGGGAACAAAGTAAGCACACTTTTTATTGTGAATGGGAGGGTTTATGGGATATGTTTTACTGTATTTTAATGCTGTTTTATTATTGTTAGCCGCTTCAATCTGTTTGGAGAGGTGGGATATAAATCATCATCATCATCATGAAATCCTCACCCTGGAGCTGAACAGCTCTAAGAAGTTTGATTGCTCTCTTGGTGTGGGCAACTCTGTTTTATGCTGGCAAAATTCTGTAGGATGGGTGGACAACTGCTAAAGGGTAATTTTTGTCCCGTCTCCATTGGGTGGTACCAGGGTATCAAAATCCCCAGAATTCCTTTAAAGAGGGATGGTGATTTTTAACTTACAAGGTAAAGGTAAAGGTTTTTCCTTGACAAGATTGTCTAGCCATGTCTGACTCTAGGGTGCGGTACTCATTTCCATTACTAATCCAAAGAGCCAGCATTGTCAGAGTACTCTGTGATCATGAGGCCAGCATGATTTCACAGAATGCTGTTTACCTTCCCACAGAAGTGGTACCTATTTATCTACTTGCATTTGCATGCTTTCGAACTGCTAGGTTGGCAGAAGCTGGGATTAGTGACAGGAGCTCACTCCATCATGCGCCACTTGGGTCTTGAACTGCCAACCTGCCAATCTTGCAATAATCAGAGTCAGCGTCTTAACTGCTGAGCCATTGCATCCCTGAGAACCAACTCCCCAGAAAACAACTCAAAACCTCTAAAATGTTGTGTTTTTTCTTCTCCCCAAGCCTTCCACGTGTCTTAAGCATCCATCAGGACATACATACCCATTGGCAGAAACAGAAATGGGAAGTGAGCGGCTTTGTTCCTACAATGTAGGAATAGTAGTGACAGGGGAGCAATGGTGACAAAAATAGGAAACAAGGTTTATGTGTGAGTCTGTGATGTGGCATACCCATGAAATGATAGAGTAGTCATCATTTTGGTTCCCAAATACAGATGATTTCAAATTGTACCATCTTGAGCTATTCGTTAATGTCTCTAAGCATGAGTACAGGTACCTTTTCCCTTATTACTGAGTACCCACAAATAGCTCATGCTGCCTATCTTGGATTGGAAAAGGGGAGTGTGGGTTATAGCAAAAAAGTTGTAAAAGCTGCCACTGCTCAATTAAAAATCAGACACAACTTCTTTTAAAAGAGGGGCCTGATATTTGGGTTTCTTGGCTTTTGCATATTCAGTTCCTTGCTAGACTTCCTTACAACTGTTTAGGCAGACACTGGATTTAATCCCAGAATGATACCAGAGGTGCGTAAGGATTTTCTTTCTTGGGTTTCCCCCTCTAACCCAAGAAAGATAGATGTCTCGCCTGTAAATTTTAACTCTAATTTTAGCTAATTTTTATTCTCTCTCTTAATATTTTATTGTTGTTCATTTTTTATTGTTACTGTTTTTAGTTTGCTTCTTTTTTATGATTAGGAGGGGGGTTGGGGTAAGGGATTATTTAGAAATGTGGATTTTAATTGTATATTGTATTTTCTTGTTTGTTGTAACCTGCTTGATCTGCAGGAAGAGGCGGGCTATAAATAAATTTATTATTATTATTATTATTATTATTATTATTATTATTATTATTATTATTATTATTATTTTGAACCATCCCCTTACCCACCAGTGCCTACATTTCAATGCAAGACTATTCGCCTGTTAATATACACAGACAATAAACTTGCACAAATCTGATTCCTGGCCGTGACATATTGCAAGCTGGTGCCTTCTGGGGGAAAAAGTAGTCTGCAGGGCAATCCTACCCCCAATTACTCAGGTAAGTAAGTGAACAGAGCTCTAGGCTGCAGGAGATTACATATACATATACCCTCTATCTGGCTAACTACCCATTTGACTTGGCACTGCCAAATATAAATAGCAACAGCACAAGCACTCCTAATGTGACTGGCCTAGGATGCCTTGCCACAATAGTACCTCTTTTGTCCTAAGTGGGCTAGCCTTGCTGCTTAATCCCATAAATTTGGGTGAAGGAAGCAGGTGCATAAAAAACACAAGGTATGAGCAACCCAGTAATAACACAGGAGGGACTTTGCAGCTTCCTAGAGGCATCTTTAGTCTTCTGCATGTCCCAGGGCTAAATACCTGGATCACACTGACAGCCTGTCCCATGTGTTGCCCTAGTCAGTTGTCCTAAGTCTATTAATGGGTC